CCGAGCCCCCGCCGTATCCCGGCCTGAGTCCGAAGCCCACGGGTATACACATGCACCATTACCTGAGTCTGCCCCCGATCTCACCGAATTTCCGGCGCCAGAATATCAGTAGCATCGGCGCTCGCATACTGAACCATCGAGTTCTTCCACCATTCTGAAGTTTGCCTTTAGGGTCAAAATTCGTCGTCGATGTGTCCATTCGCCAGCTATTCGAAATCGAAGCTGCGTGGGCATGCAATCATTGGGAGCACGCCTAGGTGCTCGTGTGCAGAAGTTCCCAGCGCTGTCTGGCCGGAGTCTAGTCACCCGTGGGGCCAACCGGGCGGGCTGCGCGCGATGCCGGGGCACCGCGAAGCAACTCGAGCGAAAGAGTCGGGTCGTCGTCGGAAGACCGAGAGAGAGGGGATGCGGCAGACGGACCCGCTGCCGCGACCTGAAAACCTCGCCCCGTGCCGCGGCGCGAGGGGCGGGGCCCGCCTAGGAGTCCAAGGTAGGAACCTGTGCCTGGCAATTTCTATCCTTGAACATACTTCCCTGGGCATTGATGCGAGCGGCCAGTCATCCCCCATGACGGCCGCGCAGACCTAGACGCAACGTTTACCGGCGCTCAAAGATAGCGAGAGAGAGAGAGGGAGAGAGGGAGAGAGAGAGAGAGAGAGAGAAAGAGAGAGAGAGAGAGAGAAAAAGAGAGAGAGAGAGAACAAAAAAAAGAGAGAGAAAGAGAGAAAGAGGGAAATAGGGAAAGAGAGAGAGAGAGAGACACAAAAGAGAGAGAGAGAGAGAAAAAACAGATAGAGAGAGAGGGAGAGAGAGGGAGAGAGAGGGAGAGAGAGAGAGAGGGAGATAGAGAGAGAGAGAGAGAAAGAAAGAGAGAGAGAGAGAGGGAGAGAGAGAGAGAGAGGGAGAGAGAGAGGGAGAGGGAGAGGGAGAGAGAGAGAGAGAGGGAGAGAGAGAGAGAGAACAAAAAATGAGAGAATGCGAGAATAAGAGAGAGAGAGAGGACACACACAAAAAAAAGAAACTAAAAAAACTGAACGAAAAAATGGAGGCCGATGGCCGCCGCGAGCGACTTCAACCACAGCGCGGCCGGCGCGAGATTCACTGGAGCGTTCTGGAGGCCGCAACAACGATCGCGCGCGCAGGCAAGCTCGAGGTCATGAAGCGGAGTCCTCAGATACTTGATCCACCGCAAGACTGGGCCCGCGTCATCGACGCTGGGTCGGCCCCCCTCGAATGGGGGCCTCATTTCCCCAGCCCCCGCAAAATTGACCTTCGCAGCGTTGTCCTGATTCGGCGACGAATGAAGACATTTAACAGCCCTCAGGGCGCCCGTGGCTGCCGGCGACCTGAAAAATCGGCCCTGCGAACATCGGCGGGAAGGCCGCGCGGCGCCCGGCGCGCGAGATGCCTACGTTGCGCGGCCCCGGCATACCTCATATGCTGCAAGAGCCCAATCTTTCCGCCCCCCCCCCCCCGGCATTGCTCGACGCGCGCCCCCTTCGAACCCCCCCTGCGCCCCTCCGCAACTGCGCGGGGCGCCGCCGCGCTCGGACCAGCCCGCAAGGGGTCGCAAAGGGCCTTCGCGTCCGCGCTGGAGAAGGGGAGAGGGCGGGCGGAACCCGGAGGTCGCAGTGCGAACGCCCCGCTGTCAGCTGGGTCGCCACTCTGCGGAAATAGAACAATGCGGCCGATTCTGTGCTCAAGGGGGAGGCGACCAACTTCGCTGTCGAATGCCTCCCCCCCCCACCACCGAGGACGCAACGTCCGCGGCTCCGGCCGGGGCAGGCGCAGCGACCGCGCGGAACGCCGCTGGCCTCCGGGACCGAGCATCTCGAAGCGGACCCCCCTCTCGCATCCCCCCCGATCAGGGCGCCGCCGCGGAGCAATGGGAACTTGGTCGATCGCCTGCGCGCGAGCGAGGATGGGGCGCCCCGGGCCGGTCGCCGCGAGAAGAATGGGCAAAGTCCCCCCCCGGCGTCAAAGGAGCGCTTGCGCGGCCAGGTCGGGGGCGGCGCGCGGCGGGCCGCCCGCGCCCAAACTCCCCGAAGCCTCGTTCGCCGCCTGGTCGCGGCCATCCCCCTGAAGGGGCCACTGGCCGCGTCTTCTGCCTCGCCCTGACCCCCCCCCCCTCCCCGCCGCGCCCCGCCCCCCCAGGCCCCGCCTCGAACCGTTGTTTGTTTCCCACGAGGCAAGCGCGCTCCACTACCCGCAATGTAGCTGCTCGCCAATGGCCTGGATCCGCCGCGGGTGATCTACGATCCATTGAATCGAAGCAGACGTGTCCTTCTCAGATGTTTGCGAGCCGCGTCTGTCCGCTCCATCCGCGATGCGACATGAATTAGACATGCAGTCTGTAGCGCCATCCGAAGCCTGCCCCCGTGGAAGCGACGCCCTGAACTCCATCGCCACAATCCCAAACCGCGCCTTCACCCGCCGCCATTTCCCTGATGGGCCCGCTGGGGGAAACAATTACCTCATATGTTCCAGGGTCATCTTCCGA